GGACAGCGCAGTGGGACAGCGGCGGGGACAGTGGGACAGTGGTGGGAACAGGGGAAAGTAGGGAAGTGGGATTGTGGTGGGACAATGGCGGGGAGAGTGGGGACAGTGAGACACTGGTGGGGGCACTGGTGGGGACAGCGGGGACAATGGTGGGAACAGTGGGGACAGTGGGGCAGTGGTGGGGACGGTGGTGGTGGGAACAGTGGTGTGGGGACAGTGGGAATGTGGTGGGCACAAAAGCACAGTGGAATGTACAGTGGTGGTGGCGACAGTGGTGAGGGCGGTGGCGAGGACGGCGGTGGGATAATGGGACAGAGGTACAGTAGGGACAGTGGTGGGGACAGTGGGAACAGTGGGGACAGTGGAACAGTGGTGGGGACGGTGGTAGTGGGGATAGTGGTGTGGGGACGGTGGGAATGTGGTGGAAACAAAGGGACAGTGGAGGGTACAGTGGTGGTGGCGACAGTGGTGAGGGCGGTGGCGAGGACGGCGGTTGGATAATGGGACAGACAGAGGTACAGTAGGGACAGTGGTGGGGACAGTGGGGACAGTGGTGGGAACAGTGGGACAGCTCAGTGGGACAGCGGCGGGGACAGTGGGACAGTGGGACAGTGGGGACAGTGGGACAATGGTTGGGGCCATGGAGAAAGTGGGGAGTGGACCCGTGGTGGGAAGAGTGGTGGGGACAGTGGGGACAGAGCGACAGTGGTGGGGGCACTGGTGAGGACAGTGGTGACGGTGGTGGGAATAATGGGGACAGTGATGGTGAGGACAGTGGTGCTGGGGACAGCAGTGGGGGATGTGGTGCGGACGGAGGTAGGGACCCAGAATTGTTTGCTGGCGGTGAGCGTGGGAGGGGGGGGAGGGGTTCGAACCAGTAGTGACCCCCCCCGATTTTCGAGGGGGGGGGGGGATTCGAGCCGGCAGGGGGGGGTTCGAACCGGTAGTGAACCCCCCCGGTTTCCGGTTTAGGGGGGGGAGGGGGGTTCGAATCAGGAAGGACCCCCCCGGTTTTCGAGGGGGGGGGGGGGGGGGGGGTTCGAACTGGTAGTGACCCCCCCTGGTTTTCGAGGGGGGAGGGGGGGGTTCGAACCGGTAGAGGGGGGAGGGGGGGGGTTCGAACCGGTAGTGACCCCCCCCGGTTTTCTGGAGGGGGGGGGTTAGGGGAGGGGGAGGGGGGGGGGGGGGTTTGCCGGGGGGGAGGAGGGGGGTCCAGCCTGGGGGGGGGGATTTGCGGGGGAGGGACCCCCGGGTTCCGGAGGAAGAGGGGGGGACATTTTCCATTGTAAGACGGCGGTGGATCACGCTCTCTCTCTCTCTCTCTCTCTCATTCTCTCATTCTCTCATCATCATCATCATCATCGTCATCATCATCATCATCATCATCATCATCATCATCATCATCATCATCATCATCATCATCATCATCATCATCATCATCATCATCATCATCATCATCATCATCATCATCATCATCATCATCAGCAGCATCATCACAAGCAGCATCATCAGCAGCATCATCATCATCATCATCAACATCATCATCATCATCATCGTAGTCATCATCATCATCATCATCATCATCATCATCATCATCATCGTAATAATGTTAAACATCATCAGTCGCAGAATCACAATCACCATCACCATCACCATCACTATCACCATCATCATCATCATCATCATCATCATCGTAATTGTCATCGTCATCATCAGCATCATCGTCAGCATCATCGTCATCATCGTCATCATCGCCATCATCTCCATCATCACCATCGCAGTCACCATCACCATCAACATCGTCCTCATCACTGTCGCCATGTCGAAGAACGCACGTCATGATATGCCTATATGTTTACACCTCATCACCTCATCACCTCATCACCATCATGATCCTCGTCACTATCACCTCATCACCATCAACATCAACATGTCGAAGAACGTACGTCCTCGTCATGATATGCCTATGTGTTTACACATGTCGGGGCCATCACCGTCGGGGGTCTGGGGCGCGCCCTGGCCCGCCGCACGCCTCGCGGCGCGCGGCAGCTGCCAGGGCGGCTGGGCCCCGCTGTCGCGGGGCTGGCGTGCGGCGCGAGGGAGCAGCTCGGCGAGCTGCGGGTCGCGGTGCCGGCCCTGCGGGAGCGGAAACCGCTGCGCCGTCGGAGTGCGGATGTGTGTCTACCGATTGTTTTCGGTGATGTACAAACACAGGTATGACTGAGAATACATATATATATATATATATGAATAGACCCATATCGACGCATCTATACATATATATATATATATACACAGACATGTGAATATATATATATATATATGTGTACATGTGTATGTATGTATAACTACATTATATATACACACATGTACACATGTAGAGATATGTATGTCCCTGCATGTCCATATCCGCTGCCCTGGGGTCGTGCGCCAGGGGCCCAGGAAACGGTGGAGCTGTACATCTGCCCGCCCCCCCGGGGGCGGGCGTGGGCGGCCAGACATCCACCTCCACCTCTCCTCGAGATCCTCAGGCACGACCCCGATGCGGTATCCATGGACATACTCGGGCAGTAGAACAGCGTACATGACACGCCGCCGTGAGGAACCCATCAGGGCGCTGCCGTTGAAGAGACACCAGGCCCTTCGGCCAGAAAAACGAAGGAGCAGCACGCCGACGCTGAGGAAGGCAAAGGATGCGGATATCGCAAGTAACCTGGACCTCTGCTGCGTTCTGTCCGCAGATTCGCGGCGAATCCAGCCGTGGCGACGAGGGCGTGCCAGGAGGCCCAAAAAGGCGGAAACGAGGGAAGGGGGTAGCGGTATCGGGACCTTCCCGTCCTTTGAGATGCGTTCCCAACACTACGGCGTGCCGCTGACGCCTCGCCATCGCTCGGACGCCTATTCCCCGTGCATTTTTCGGTTTCACGCGTGGATGATCCAGGATGCTCCTCGATGGTCTTCGCCGACAACAACGCACACGTAAGATGATCCAGGATGCTCCTCGATGGTCTTCGCCGGGCAAAAACGCACACGTCTGAGCGATGCCAAAACGCTCGTTCTCGCTCCCGAGGCCCGCGGCCTGGGGCGGCGCCGGCTGCGCCGCCTGGCCGAGGCCGGCGGCGCGCCGCCGAGACGCGGAGGAGGGCCGCAGGGCTCCCGTGGAGCTGCTCCTCGCGCCGCCCGGCTGCACGCGGGAGAGGCCGAGTGGGCACGAGTGGCCCACGGAGCGCGGCTTTCGGGGCGCGAGGGGGGGGGGGAGGCCAAGCCCAGGCGGGCAAGCCGCTGCTGTCGCGTCGTGTGCAGCGACCGGGGGGGGGCCCCAGCGGGCCCGCACCAGGGGCCGCTCTGGCGAAGGGGCACTCTCCCACGGGCAGTCGAGCCGTGGGCCGGCAGTCCCCTGGACGTCGGGCGGGCTGGTCTGTCCTGTGGGTCCCAGCGCTTTCCCTGCGCCTCTGCCGCTCGGGCGGCGACTTCGGGCCCCGGGGCCATCAGGGGTGGATGGGGGGCGAAGCGCCGTCTCTGAGGGAAGGGGTCGAGACCTCTTGGGCCCGCGGGCTGAAAGGATCCCTCCATCGGGAGTCCAGGGCAGCCGCTGGGTTACACATAAAGGCCGCCCGACCTCAGACCTCTGGCGTCGAAGAATAATCGATTTTGTCAAACGCAAACACTCCCCCAGAACAGATCACCAAAATGAGCCAGCCGCCTGAAATCGATGGGCCTTCACACTCCGTAGCCAAGTGCTGCTGACACAAAGGTGCCCCTGAAACCCGTCGCGCCGAGAAGATTGAACGAGGGCATCGAGGAAGAATCGAAGCGCTAGGCTTCTCTTGGTTTTCGGCCCGTGGGTGCTCTGAGGCCATCACTGGCCATCGCTCGGACATCCAATTACCCTTTCATTTGTCGATTTCGCGCGTGTTTTCACGGCTGGATGACCCAGGATGTTCCTCGATGGTGCTCGCCGAGACAAATACACACGCACGAGCGCACGAGCGATGCCAAGATCACAGACTGAGCGACCCCGTCTCGGAGCGGGCCCCGAGGGGGCGCTCAGCGCCAACGCCAGCGCGGCCGCTGCGCCAAGTCGGCGCGAGCCGGCCGGTCATCCCCGCCTCCGCCTCCCCCCCGCCCGCCTCCTCTCCTGGCCCCCTCGCTGCCGAGCTGCCCCGACACGCAGCACGCAGCGTTTTGACACGGAGGTCAACACGTAGTCTGTCACGTAGGTCTGGCGCGGTGCGCTCGCCAAAACGTGGGCCAACACGCTCCGAACCAACACGCAGCGGGTTGGTACGGACGTTCTGAGCACGGTACGTGCTGCGTTTCAGCACGCGCGTACTGGGGCAGCTAAGCATCGCTGCTGTCCTCGGGGGAGCGCGCTGGGGCGCCCCGGCGCCCGACTGTCCAGCGTACCACATCGGCTGTAAGTGGCCACGGGCCCGCCCCTCCGCGAATCCGCGGGGGAGGGGGGTGGCACCGGGCTTGTAGGAGCGCCCTCTCTCGAGCAGGAGTGACCGCGGACACCGGCGATGACGACGATGACGCTGGCGACCACGACTTGACACTTGGTACTGGCAGCGGTGTCGACGATGGCGCGGCGGTGGCGATGGCGCTACGTCGATACCTGTGGCCTGTAACGGTGTCGCAGCGGCGATGCCAATGGCGACGGTGACGACGACTCACGCTGCATCGAAACAGTGAAACCCTTGACTCAGCTTACAGTCCCAATTCTTCCTCGAAGAACCGATCGCGCTCCAATTTCATTAGAGCTTCAGGCCCCGTGGAATTGCAAGACTCCGAAAGGTGGCAATATGGACGAGTGTCACAGACAATAATATATCTAAGATGTCGGATTGACGTCTATATCTGTACACTAACACATACATCCATATGTACATATGTATATGTTAAGACCCACCCTTGTTCTTGTGTTTCACAGAGAAGGTGCAGGACAGCGCTGACATTTAAAAGTCTAATGCACGCGATTCTACAGGCCAAGCTATTTCGACCACCCACACCACAACATGTCGCCACTCTTCAGAAACTGATCCTGGCCCATGTGCCAATAGCACGATTGGACAAAGAGCACTCGATCGTCGAGAAGTTGTTCGGAGGATCCAACTGCTGACCGCGTCCCAGAATGATCTCGAACACGTCTCCAGCTGCGATCTATGAGTTGGGTTCCACCTGTCTATGCCTCGGGATCCACTTTGTTGGCCGCTGCAGTGGAGCACTTTCTGCATCACTTCGTCTTCGCGCCATGAATCCAAGAAGAATCAATGAAATCCGCCGACCTCTTGGGGTTCATCGACGTGTGAAATGCTTCCCGCTCCCCAAACCCCTCCCCCGTGCGAACGCACCCGGTGAGGCAGAGGGCCCCAGAAAAGAAGCCAGGAGGGCCCCAAGAGGCCCTTAGGTCGGCCCACGAGGGCCACGGGTCGCTGAAAGATCAATCCGAAACGCCCACGCTGGCCTCCAGACGGCCCAAGAGGCCCCCAAGACGCCCCCCAAATTAGCCTGGCGAAGGACCCAACCATATGCAGTTGTGAGTAATGCTGGTGTGAGTACCGTCTTCAGTGGATATCCCTATGGGGCCACGAACCGTTTGAGGGGTGTGCCGAAATGGGTGTGGGGGCGGCATGCGAACGTTGCCACTGGGGCCTTCGGTGGAGCTCCTTATGGGGCCACGAAACGTGTGAGGGGTGCACCGAAGTTGGTGTGGGGGCGGCATGCGAACGCAGCCACTGGGGCCTTCGGTGGAGCTCCCTGTGGGGCCACGAAACGTGTGAGGGGTGCACCGAAGTTGGTGTGGGGGCGGCATGCGAACGCAGCCACTGGGGCCTTCGGTGGAACTCCCTATGGTGCCACCAAACGTGTGAGGGGTGTGCCGAAATGGGTGTGGGGCGCATGCGAACCCAGTCACTGGGGCCTTCAATGGAAACCCCCATGGGGCCACGAAACGTGTGCGGGATGTGCCGACATGGGTGTGGGGGAGGCATACGAACCAGGCCACTGGGGCCTTCGGTGGAGCTCCCTATGGAGCCACGAAGCGTGTGAGGGGTGTGCCGAAATGGGTGGTGGGGAGGCATGCGGACCCTGCCACTGGGGCCTTCGGTGGAGCTCCCTATGGGGCCACGAAACGTGTGAGGGGTGTGCCGAAATGGGTGGTGGGGAGGCATGCGGACCCTGCCACTGGGGCCTTCGGTGGAGCCTCCCTATGGGGCCACGAAACGTGTGAGGGGTGTGCCGAAATGGGTGGTGGGAGGCATCGGGCCACTGGGGCCTTCGGTGGAGCTCCCTATGGGGCCACGAACGTGGAGGGGTGTGCGAAATGGTGGTGGGGAAGCCATGCGGACCCTGCCACTGGGGCCTTCGTGGAGCTCCCTATGGGGCCACGAAACGTGTGAGGGGTGTGCCGAAATGGGTGTGCGTGACGCATGCGGGCGCTGGCGGCGGAGCTGGAGCCACGAAACCCGAAATGGGTGTGCCGCATGCGGGCGCGGGCACTGGGGCCTTCGGCGGGGCTCCCTATGGAGCCACGAACGTGTGAGGGGTGTGCCGAAATGGGTGTGGCTGGACGCATGCGGGCGCGGGCACTGGGGCCTTCGGTGGAGCTCCCTATGGAGCCACGAAACGTGTGAGGGGTGTGCCGAAATGGGTGTGGGTGACGCATGCGGGCGCGGGCACTGGGGCCTTCGGTGGAGCTCCCTATGGAGCCACGAAACGTGTGAGGGGTGTGCCGAAATGGGTGTGGGTGACGCATGCGGGCGCGGGCACTGGGGCCTTCGGTGGAGCTCCCTATGGAGCCACGAAACGTGTGAGGGGTGTGCCGAATTGGGTGTGGTGACGCATGCGGGCGCGGGTACTGGGGCCTTCGGTGGAGCTCCTATGGGGCTACGAAGCGCTGTACTGGGTGGGTGAAACGCAGGGAAGAGGGGGAGGAGGGGGGAGGAGGGAGGAGGAGGAGAGGAGGCGGAGGAGGAGAGGAGGAGACGCGGGCCACCGTCTCTTCAAAACGAGGACCCAACACCACAGGATGGTTGGGAAAAAAACCCAAGAGGCGTCCCAAGAGGACCTCCAACAGCAGAAATCGCCCCATTCCCTTTTTGAAAAACGTGCATCTTTAGCACAATTCGCCTCTTGGACGTTCACAGCGTCCCAGACGGCCCAAGAGGCCTTCAAGATCGCGCGAAAAAGAACCAAGAGGCCCCCGAGAGGGCTCCAAGACGACCCAAGAGGGCCCCAAGACGGCCCAAGAAGCCCCCAAGACGGCCCAGGAGGGCCCCAGGACAGCCCCAAGAGGGGACCAAGAGGGGGAACCCGAACGGCATTTCGAGTCTTCCACCACAAGACGCCTCCAGGTTGCCCCGAGAAGCCCCCAAGAGGCACCCAGGGAGCCCCAAGATGGCCGGAAAAAAACCCAAGAGGCCACCAAGAGGCCCCCACCCCAAGAGGTTCAATAACTGCCTCCAAGACGCCCCCGAGACGCCTCCCACGAGACCCCATCAACCATCCGAGTGACCTCAGACCCGCAACCCAGGCACGGTGACGAGATGTGCCGAAGGCCATTCGATAATCATTCTTCGAGTGTGTTGACAGATGCCCGCCGTCTGTATACGTGGGCTCCCGCCCGTTTCCCCATGCATGCACGGCGGATGCTGAGAATATCAGCCCAGGGGGCCCCGAAAAGGCCCCCAGGAGGCCCCCAGGAAGCCCCAAAAGAGCTCCAAGAAACCCCCGAAAGGCGCACAAGAGAGGGGGCTCGCAGAGGTCCGGCAATCCGCTTCTGGGAGAAAACATCTCTCGCGGCAGACCACAGGGCACCGAAGGAGCAGACGCCGCGCGCTGAGAGACGGAGGCGACAGCCCGCCAGGGCGCGCCCCCCCGGCGAGCGGAGGAGCCGTCTGGCGCGCCACCGGGCGAAGCTACCTGGCGACGGACAACCTTTGGCGCACTCAAGTTCAGTAGACAGAAAAGAAGGTGTACAAAAACCGCCATAGGGCACCCTCTGGTGCACACCCCAAGAAAAACGCTGGCAAAGGCACCAAAATAGGCACACCAAAAAAAAAAAAATCCTGGCGAAGGACCCAACCATATGCAATTGTGAATACTGCAATTGTGAATATCTTCTCGGTGGAGCCCCCTACGGGGCCACGAAACGTACGAGGGGTGTGCCGAGATGGGCGTGCGGAACGCATGCGGGCACACCCACTGGGGCCTTCGGTGGAGCTCCCTATGGGGCCACGACACGTGTGAGGGGTGTGCCGAAATGGGTGTGCGGGAAGCATGCGGGCACACCCACTGGGACCTTCGGCGGAGCTCCCTATGGGGCCACGGAACGCGTGAGGGGCGCGCCGAAATGGGTGTGGCTGACGCATGCGGGCGCGGGCACTGGGGCCTTCGGCGGAGCTCCCTATGGGGCCACGAAACGTGTGAGGGGTGTGCCGAAATGGGTGTGGCTGACGCATGCGGGCGCGGGCACTGGGGCCTTCGGTGGAGCTCCCTATGGAGCCACGAACGTGTGAGGGGTGTGCCGAAATGGGCGTGTGACGCCATGCGGGCGCGGGCACTGGGGCCTTCGGTGGAGCTCCCTATGGAGCCACGAAACGTGTGAGGGGTGTGCCGAAATGGGTGTGGGTGACGCATGCGGGCGCAGCACTGGGGCCTTCGGTGGAGCTCCCTATGGGGCCACGAAACGTGTGAGGGGTGTGCCGAATTGTGTGTGGGTGACGCATGCAGGCGGCAGCACTGGGGCCTTCGGCGGAGCTCCTATGGGGCCACGAAACGTGTGAGGGGTGTGCCGAATGGGTGTGGGTGACGCATGCGGGCGGCAGCACTGGGGCCTTCGGCGGAGCTCCCTATGGAGCCACGAAACGGTGAGGGGTGTGCCGAAATGGGTGTGCGTGACGCATGCGGGCGCGGGCACTGGGGCCTTCGGTGGAGCTCCCTATGGAGCCACGAAACGTGTGAGGGGTGTGCCGAAATGGGTGTGGGTGACGCATGCGGGCGCGGGCACTGGGGCCTTCGGTGGAGCTCCCTATGGAGCCACGAAACGTGTGAGGGGTGTGCCGAAATGGGTGTGGTGACGCATGCGGGCGCGGGCACTGGGGCCTTCGGTGGAGCTCCCTATGGAGCCACGAAACGTGTGAGGGGTGTGCCGAAATGGGTGTGCGTGACGCATGCGGGCGCGGGCACTGGGGCCTTCGGTGGAGCTCCCTATGGAGCCACGAAACGTGTGAGGGGTGTGCCGAAATGGGTGTGGGTGACGCATGCGGGCGCGGGCACTGGGGCCTTCGGCGGAGCTCCCTATGGGGCCACGAAACGTGTGAGGGGTGTGCCGAATTGGGTGTGGTGACGCATGCGGGCGCGGGCACTGGGGCCTTCGGTGGAGTTCCCTATGGAGCCACGAAACGTGTGAGGGGTGTGCCGAAATGGGTGTGGTGACGCATGCGGGCGCGGGCACTGGGGCCTTCGGTGGAGCTCCCTATGGAGCCACGAAACGTGTGAGGGGTGTGCCGAATTGGGTGTGGGTGACGCATGCGGGCGCGGGTACTGGGGCCTTCGGTGGAGCTCCTATGGGGCTACGAAACGCTGTACTGGGTGGGTGAAACGCAGGGAAGAGGGGGAGGAGGGAGGAGGAGGGGGAGGAGGAGGAGAGGAGGAGACGCGGGGCACCGTCTCTTCAAAACGAGGACCCAACACCACAGGATGGTTGGGAAATAAAATAAAAACCCTCGACCATCCCTCGGACTCTTCTGCCTGGCTGCCCTCTCGCAGCGGCGCCGGCGCCGACCCTCAATCGCGCCTTTTTCATCGCTTCCTCGCCTCCCCCAGACACATCAATACCCGCCGCCGTCGAGGAAAACGCAAACTGCTGTCTGGGGCGGATTACATTACTGCAGTGATCCAGGCTCCCGGCGAGAGGCCCTCAGGAGCAACAAGCAACAACCGCCAGTTCCCCAAGAGGTCGGCGGTGTGGCGTAAGCCCAAGGATTAAAAATATCGCAAGACGGTCGGAAGTCAGCCAAAACCGTTAAAAACACCAAAACCCCTTTGATCTAAAAAGGCTGAAGACGTCGAGGCTGCTCTCAAAGTCCTCCAGAAATGCGATCTCGATCCTGGCTTGTATTTTTAGCTTCCAGGGTTCCTGAAGTCTTGAGGTCCTGGTTTCGCCTTATGTCTCCCTTGTCCCTTTTGTCCCAGTTGTCCCCTTTTTGTCCCCTATTTGTCCCCTTGGCTTGGCTCCTTTGCCCCCTCAGTCCTTCCAGCCCGTCAGGGCGTGAGCGGTCTAGGGAGTTCGCTCGTCCAAGCTCATTCTTCCCCTTCGGGGAAGAGGTTCCTCCTTCCTCCTCCCCCTACCCTCTTTCTCTGGGTCTGGAGGGGAAGGGTGCGATGTGTTACAGCGTCCAAAATTCTAAGATGGCACAACATGGCTCCAAAAAGGGCCCCTCACTCCTCAAGATGGCCTTCAGGATGGCTCAGGGTAGCTCAAGATGGTCCTGGATAAATTCCCGCGTGCCTCCAAGAGGCCTTGAGACTGTCATCATCGTCGTCGTCGTGCCCGCTGTCCCCTCTGTCCCCTGTGTTCGATTGCCCCCCGCGCGCGCATTTCCAGCGCCGGATAATGGGCGCGAGGAAGGGCAACGGGGACAAACTCGGCGGTGGACAAACCTCCCTTTAGTAAACCTCCATTGAATCAAAAAAGCCTAGGACCGAAACCGACGGACCTGGTCCCGCAAAAATGACGGCCGCTACGCCGTCTCGCGAATCGAAAACGGCCAATTCGCTAATCGACTTGTCAGCGTAGGAGGTCGATCAGCCTCCGACAAACAACGTAGACAAAAGGAGACAAACGAAGAAGATGGGCGGGGCAGAGGGGATAATGGGGACACACCGGGCAAAGGGGACGAGGCGAACACAAGGGATAAAGAGAGGGGATACACGGGAGACACAAGGGGGGACAAGGGATCCAAGGAGACAGGGGAGACAAGGGACAGAGGGGACAAACAAAGGGGGGCAAGAGGAGACCGAGGGGACAAAAGGGGACAAAGGTTAACGAGGGCACAAAGCGAACTCAAGGGACAAAGAGGAGGAACAAAGGAGCCAAAGGAGACAAAAGGATCCAAGGGGACAGAAAGGAGACAAGAAGAGAACAGAGGGGGACAAAGGGGACAAACAAAGGGGACAAAAGGGACAAACGGAGAAGACAAAAGAGACAGAGGGGACGAATGGGACACGGGAGGGAAAGGAGACAAAGGGGACAAAAGGAGCAAGGGGGGGCACGGGGAACAACGCGAACCCAAGGGACAAAGAGAGGGGACAGAGGAGCCAAAGGGGGACAAAAAGATCCAAGGAGACCAAGGAGACAAAGGAGACAAAGGGGGACAAACAAAGGGGACAAAGGGACAAACAGAGAAGACAAGGGAGACAGAGGGGACAAAGAGGACACAGGAGGCAAAGGAGACAAAGGAGACAAAGGGGACAAAGGGGACAAAGGGTACACAGGAGACAAAGCGAGGGGACAAAGGGGACGAAGGGATCCAAGGGGACGAAGGAAACGAAAGAGCGACAGCTTAGCAGTTCGCAGCCCCCAGGGTTGGCGAGGTCTCATTCTGATCTGGGTATCGCGTCACGTCGCTGGGTCTCCCAGGAGCCCCCGAAGGTGGTGACAGTCTCGCAACAGTTCGCAGCGACGAGGGACAGCAAGGTCTCATCAAATCTGGGTATGATGTCACCCCGTTGGGCCAAGAGCCCATGAGAGTGTCGACGGTTTTGAAGTTGGCCGCCGCCTGGGGCGGGGTCTTATTCTGATCCGCGCAGGACGTCACTCCGCTCGACCCCCCAGGGAGCCCACGAAAGAGGCGTCAGCTACGCAGTTTGGTCTCATCTTGCTTCGCGCAAGACGTCACAGCGCCGGACCCTCCAGGAACCATATAAGAAACCGGTGAGACAGAGTCGCAGCTCGCAGCCCCCAGGGACGACGAGGCAAGAGAGCTAGGAAGCAGGCGGAGGGAGGAAGCTAGGAAGCAGGAGGTGCAAGCAGGAGCTAGGAAGCAGGAGGAGGAGGGAGGAAGCAGGAGGAGGAAGCAGTGGCCAGGAGGCAGGAGGTGGACGGAGACCGCGAGGAAGAGGCCTGGTGGCATGGCGGCTGCTGCAAATTTTCACCGGAGGAGGAGGAGGAGGAGGAGGCGGAGCGTACCCTGAGCACGTCCCAGGATCAACTCTACGGCGGGGGCGGGGGCCAGCGACGCTCGTGGCTTTGTCGGCGCCTGCTGCCCCTCCTCTCCTCCCCACTGCTACTACCATCAAACCTCCAGCTGCAACCTGACTCACTCTCCCGAATTCGACTACCTACCTCACCGCTGCCACTGCCATGGGACAAGAGAGGCGGAGCACACTCAGCATCAGGCGGCCTCACCCGCGGCAGCAAACGCGGCCACCTTGACGCCGGTGAGGCCCACCCCGCCGTCGATGTCGGCGGCAATGCCATCCAAGACGACGTTGTACAATTCGATACCAGGATTCGTGGCGACCGAGCCTGGGAAAGCCACGGGCTCGAGGAGCACCCGTGGGATCCAGGACTTTGCGTTCTGATCGCCTCATCACTGTGTGGGAGTCCAGCACGTGGCGACTGAACCCAGCTCAAGCTCGAGGCGCACTCGTCTGGGATTTGCGATCTAACGCCGTCACCTAGCGTTCTGACACCCGACTCAGCAGCATGCACATCATCACCGCCAGCGACTCCAGCCACAGAGGACGCGCCGTCTGACATCAAGGACGAGCCCGTCTTTCCACACGATGACGAACCAGCACGTGACGACTGAACCCAGCCCGAGCTCGAGGCGCACTCGTCTGGGATTTGCGATCTAACGCCAGCCACTCGCGTTCTGACATCGGGACCATCCCCCTGTCCGTCTCCAGCGGCACTCCCTTCTGACTCATATGACGAGCTGGGTGATGAAGAAGAGGAGGAAGCCGCTCGACTTGCCAGCACAACTTTCTGCAGCTCAGATCGTCGAAGCATGCGCCTCTGACCACCCCTCAACGGCAGACGCACAGCCAGACGGGCAGCTTCGACCAGCTTGAGGGCACCTGCGTACTGGGGCGCCTCAGTATGTACTCTCGACATGAGGCGGTAATGATGATAGATCGCCATCAAAAATGCCAGATTGCCACCCCTGACACCAATCCTGAAAGCCACATTGCCAGGAAGATCATTACGGAGCACCAAAGCAGCAAAGTGATGGCATCGCTGGCAGCGCACGACATAGTGCGCGATGGTGTCAGCTCCGTGCTCGCACCCATAAATACATCTCGCATCTCTCTGCATCCGTCGGTTCGTAATCCATCCACCAAGGAAAGTTTTCAAAGCAACAACCGCCCAACTTGGAGGGACAGCCTGCAAAGTCTGTTGCACTGCCTGCAGATCAGACGCTCGAATCCTGAAATGCCGCCACAACCGCCGCCTGACCAGCTTCTCCAGCTTCGGCGGGAAGACGTTCCTCAACAATATCTGATAGAAGATACTCTGCCATTTGGTCCTCGGGGTTCTCCTCGCCCTCTCCTCCTGCGGATCTTCGCGGCTGCACAGCAACCTCTCCAGCTGTCCAGGGAGAGCAGCTGGCCCAAAGAGGCGGAAAGTTCACCTCTTCCAAGCCTGCCTGCCCACAGTGCTCGAGCCATCGCACCACCAATACTAAGCTGTCGATCTTGTTCGAAGCCGAGTGCACCTTGCTCCAAGAACCATGCAAACGGTGGGCACCTCCAGAAGGGTGGGGCCATCACCGCAGCGTTCCAGAGGCTCGCGCACCCCATGTCCGTCACCACCTGCCGCAACCTTCCGAGCCTTGCCTGCCATGTGGAGCACGTCGTGAGAGCGGACCGCATGCGAGTCGCCGCGGCCAGCACAAACATGGATGTGAACCTGGGCCCACCCCATTCAGCCAGAGCAAAGCAATCGCCCATTCTCAACATCGAACTCGGCGCCCGCAGAATCCGCGCCACAAGATGGCGCTGCCGTTGACACTCCTTCCACCCAAGAGGGACCAGCTGCGAGACATAGCCCAAAACAGGAAGCGCCCGATCGGCATACAACTTAGCAGCAACTTGCACAGGGGCCCCTTGTCGGCTCAACTCAACTGTACGAGATGCATGTTTGGCCAGCGCCTCCGACCACTGTGCGTCAATCGTGGCCCCAGGGCCGATCTGAAATCCCAAGTAAGTGCACACGTCTACCATTTGGAAGTCTGCCCACTCAGCGTCGGCATCGATCAAAACCTGTCGCAGTTCCGAAGTGTACGGTTCGCAGGCGGGACCACGAAGGGGTATCACAAAGCATTTAGCAGGCTTGAGCACCAGGTTGGCGAACAGACGAGCATTGCGGAAAACGCGAGCAAGCCGTGGGTATCCCCGATTCTTCCTAATGACTGCCCCCAGATCATCTGCACAAGCACGGGCAGCCCCGAGAGACACTGAACCATTGCTCAGGGATACTTCGATATCCAGCAGGAACGAGTTGGCAGCAATGACATAGAGCGAACCACTTAACGGACAGCCTTGTAGGACCCCTGAGTCCATGAAGTAGAGCAGAGAGAGGCTAGCACCACCATAGTAACAGGGCGACCCGAAGTAAAGGACCTCGAGAGCACGTGTAAGGGGGCCAGGAAGATGTAGATGATGAAGACACCGAAACAGCCACTTCTGACTGACCGAGGGGAACGCTTGTGCAAAATCAAATGTCATGAGGGACGGCGAGTTCATCGGATCATCCTGGGACACGATACTGGCGATCCGTGCAAATACATCAAGATCAACCACATTGTTGAGAAAGTTCCGATGACGGATGAAGCCGTTCTGAGTTCTCGCTCCTATCGTTTGGACGACCGACTGCAACTTCCCATTCAAGACAGAGCAGATCACCTTATTCGACGTGTTCTTCAGCCCCAGGGGCCGTGTGTCACCAGCTGACCTAAGGACCCCTCCAGAGTCGGGTTCGATCTGGGAACCCTTCGCCGATTTCGGAATAAACACCGCCAGGAGCGCCGAGAAGGAGGACGGCATGAGATTCCCCGCTAGGATCCACTGGAGCACCACCATAAGGACCTGAGGCCCAAGCCCAGACTTCCACGCAATGTAGTGCAGGCCGTCGGGGCCAGGAGCCGACCAAGATACCCGACGGAGAAAGCGATGGATATCCTCGATCATGGGGGGGCGGATGTTGGAGAAGTCGACGGTACTCGAGAACCTCCTTAGATATTGCTCACCTCCAGGGGGCACCTCGGAGACCTTGGAGAACACGGGGGCCCAGTATCTCGCCAGTCCGTCAGCTAGCATATCTTCAGCCCCCACTGCCTGCCCACCTTCCCGAAGCTGTTCTCCCTGCTGAGCCCCGTCAACGAGAAGCCCCGTTAAGAATTTCCGCCGAGCAAGAGGATTCCACAACTGAGCGCGACGATGAAGGGCCTGCTTCAACGCGACAAGCCGTGAGCGTCTACCCGGAGCCAGTTCCCGTTCAGCAGCCTCTTCGAGAGCCTTTTTGCGCTGCGCACACTCCTGTCTCTGAAGGTTGCCATGCAAGTCCTGGAACTTACCTGGGTCAAGGAACATGGGGATCTCACCGACAATGTGCACCAGGGACTGGGTCCAGGGATGCTGATGGAGGAGAACTCTCGCCAACCTCACGTCGCTACGCCAGACCGCCCGAGCCAACGATCGAGAGACCATGGCCCGAGATGCCAGGGACGATGGAGACGCACGAACGACTGCGTCCCGGACGATGGCTCCCGCACACTGCCGAATACGAGTAGCCGCCTCCAGGAGCCTCGGGGCATCCGTCATCATGTCCTGAATCCCTACCACTTCCTCCAACTCCTTGACCACCTGCTCAAACAACCTATCCTCGTAAATCCACCTCGGCATCGGACGCGGGCGCGATGACGACGCCGCCGAACGAGGACCCAACGTCACGATGATCGGGGCATGGTCAGACATGCCGCGCTTCTTGAGCTCCTCCACCTCCCCCTCCACCCTGCAGTGTTGATGCGTCTGGCAAAGAACCCAAGGAGGCGACGCGATGAAGCAGCGATCGATTTTTCCAGCGGACTGGGTGCCCTCGTTCCAGTGCGTGGGCTTGTCGATTGCGAGCTCAGTCATCTTCCTGAAGATCTTCCTCCAGGTGCTGTCGCCAGCCTTGCCAGCGCGAGAGGACGAGGCACGAGCGCAGGCTGAAACATGTCTCTCCAAGCCGCCAACGTATGAAGTAGCTGCAGAGCCTGGCGTTGCTTTCCTGAACGCCGTGGCCATCTCGCCCGCCTCGTCTGAAAGATTGAAGTCGCCTATCAGGATGACCGAGCACATCATCGGATCAAGTCTTACTTCAGCCAGTTGCTTGACGATGACCATGCTGATGGCGTGGATTCTGTAACAGTCGATCCCATGATTGTGAACGTTCCAGTGATACCAAACGAAGCCACTGAGAGTGCACCGAATTTTCAAATACATGACTCTGCCAGGGACCAGCACAACGTGCTCAGACACCTCCAAATTGTCTCTCACGGGAACAAGGGTGAGAAGTCCATCTGACTGCGTGGGCCCACTGTGAGACTGATACGCACGATGACGAACTCTGACACGATGCAATAGTTCCTGAACCGCTCCAGCGTCGCCATGCGTCTCCTGCACCGCCACAATCGTGTCCATTTGCGCCAGCTTGGCGAGCAAAACCGCCCGCCTGGAAGCTAACCTCGGACTAAAATGAAGAAGCGACGATGCATTCCAACTCGCGAACCTGATGGACACTGAACCCAATATCGTGCTACCCACACCATTGCACATCACGAGCCACGAACGTCTTACGGGCAAGATCAGAGACTTGTTGATGGCCCAGCCCCGAATCGCCCAGCGCTGCCTGATTCCATTCCACCTTCGGAACACGCGTAGCCGAAGAGGGGGTGATCTTCGCGAGCGGCTCCCACTTCGAGAGCAACTGGCCGCCCTCCCTGTCGATGAACGTGATGATGCCCATCTCGCTCTGCAACGCCTTGCGCAACTTCTTGCACGCCATCTCCGTGGCGACCTCCTTCCTATTCTTGTCCACGGAGACAAAGATGGGGGATCTGCGCCCGCCGACCGTAACCGCGAAGTCCCTCCATCTTCCCGTCGGAAACCTGAGCACCCCCTGGGCCTGACGCCGTCGAGACTCTCTCGTAGCCTGCATGGGGCCCAGGAAGGAAACCGTGAATTGCTTGCCCATGTCGTCACCCAAGAGCTCGACCTCTTTCCCGAAGGTGAAGTTGGCGTCCTTGAGCCATCCCGAGAGTGCCTCCTCGACGCCGGCCTTGGGCACCAGGTCGGGGGACCGAACCACGAGGATCGTGTGGTCCACAGCCCTGTCCCAGTCAGATGACGCGACAGGTACCTCTCGGGGACGAGCCCGTGCAAGATCGAGCTCCTTCTCCAAATGAGCCAGCCGCTGCTCCAGGACCCGCGTGTGCCCCTCCACGTTGGTGAGTCTGCCGCCCTGCTCGTCCAGCTGGTTCTGCAACCGTTTGACCGCGTCCGCCCACTTCTTCTCAAGCTTCTCGAAGAGTGGGCCAGCAGCTCGCCCCAGCGCTGACGGAAGTTCCCGCGTGAGGGTCTCGAGCGCCATCGCAGAGAACTCGGAGAGGGCCTGCTGCTTGAGGTCCGCCAACTGTCCGCCCACAAGTCCTTCAGCCCATGGATCCATAGGGGCAGGGGGACGAGGCGGAACCGCCTGACGACCTGCTCCATCTTGTCCACCTCCAGCCATCTCCTGGGACGGGAAGGTGGGAGCTGCCTCGAGGGCGTCCAGGGCAGCTTCGAGCGCAGCATCTCGCGCCTGGGCCCCACCTCCATCCCTACTCCCCGCAGCACATGACATCGCTTCATCGCCAACATCATCTCGACGCCGAAGACGATCACCAGCATGACGAAAGCCCGAAGCGGGTGGAGTCGAGAACCCCTCTGATGGCGAGGACCGCCTCGAACGCCTTGATGAACGAGAGTCAGAGCGGTCTCTTCGCTCCTTGTCCTTCTTGGATTTCTTCTCCTTCTTGTCCTTCTTCGACTCCTTCCTCGGGGTGCCCTCGTGCCTGACGGGTCCCATGCCGCGCGCTCGGTGCTACGCTCTGGCGCAGCACTCCACACCGCAGGCGAATGCGGCGGAGAAGCGAAGACTAGCCGCGGACTAGCGGTATCCACGTCTGCCCCAGGGGAGACTGGCATCTTGAGCCAAAATGGCTACGGAGGAGGAGGAGGAGGAGGAGGAGGAGGAGGCAGCGGGGAAGGAGGAGGAGGAGGTGGAGAGGAGGAGGAGGAGGTGGAGGAGGAGGAGGAGGAGGAGAAGGAGGAGGCGGGTGAGGAGCTCCTTCTACCGCGCGGACGCACGGGAGGAGGGTGGGGCCTGACAAGGGTCCCACAAGCGACGCAACGGATCTCCAGACGTGTAGGAGAAACACGGCTGGCAGAAGCAGATGAAACTTCCATCGCTGCAGTCCACAACGATGCACCGGTGCCCAAGATCACGCAGTCTCTGTGGATCTACTTTGAACCTGCGGGCACACCTCCCTTGTGGATGCTTTCAAAGGAGGATCAACTGCCAGCTGCATCAGAGAATGGCCTCAAGCAGTTCAATGTTGCAACTACCCGAAATGGAAACGAGATGCATCAATGCTATACTACATACAGCTATTCGCATATGAGCGTAAGCGTGTTTAGCATCACGAGGTGGTAGGTCCCTTGCGTATTGGTGCGGCTGGGATGGCGAGAAGCAGGAGGAGCAGCACGAAGAGGAAACGGAGAGGTCAGCACAGGGGGCACGAAAGGAGGACTGGAGCGTCGTTCCTGAAAACGACAATCCCAGATAGCATGCGGGGGAAAACAGAAAAGCTCACAGCATCATGGCGGCACACATCTGTCCAAGCACTTCATGCCTGGGGATGCTGTCGTCCGGTGCTCTACAAGAGCAAGGGACTCGGGAAACTGCTACTCTGACCTTCCAGGCGACAGCACGAAGTCTGCCGAGAAGGCAACCGAGCACAACGATCATCGTCTTGTGCAGAGGCGCTTACTTCGGAGGCGAGGGCAGCGAATGCGCGCCTGCTTTCCGCCTTTCACCCCTTGCCAACGCTCTCGCCACTCTCTGGTGACCGACGGTGTGACGCCCCGCTAGGCACAAGGAGCCGATCGAAAACTAAAGCGGCGCGCCCTCCGGCACCGGGGAAAACAGCACAAAACCACGCACCCCCGCGGCTCGGAATGCCCAGCCGCGGGGGCGGGGAAAACCAGACGCCGACGCCCGAACTCGCAACCTGGCACTTGGCGGCGAGCAGAAGGGGGTAAGGGGAGGGGGGAAGGCTACTGAGAAAGAGGCTGCTTCTTAGAAGGCGCCGGCCTCAGAGAAGGCCCGCACCTTCTAAGAAGCAGGGGTACTTGTAAGAAGCCTTCACCCCTTCCCCTACCCCCCTCTGCGCGCCGCCAAGGCATGCCCTAGACAAGAGGACAAAGCACAGCTGCACAAACATACGCCGCCGCAGGTCCGCGCGGAGCTCCCGGATCGGCGCCGGGCGCCGCCACCGGGCGCGCTCCGCGCGTCAGGCAGGGGGGTCCAGCGCCTCCGCGAGGACCTCTTGTGCAGCCCCTTCTTCTTCGACTACAGTCGGGGCGTTGACCTAAGGAACCCTAAATAAGGAACGAGGCCCCTATTTTCCATAAGTAAAAAGTTCGATTTCGCATCGAAAGCCTGAGGAAAATCTAAGGCAAGCTGCGAAGCAATGAAGGAACACGGAGCCCCTCCCCAACGAAAAGGGTTCCTTCTTCAGGGCGCCGACTGTATGCAGCCCCTTCTTCTTCGACTAAAAGGGTCACTGCCGCACAAGCCCGCGAGCGAGCTCCTGGGCACTGGGGCATCGCGCAGGGCGCCATGCACGGCTGGCAACATTCCTGGCCGACGTCGCCACCGGCGTCACGACTCCGCGTACAGCTCCAGCCGAGCTCGCACGTCGGGCTCCGTCCACGCTGGCGTGCTGAACACGGGCAGCAGAGAATGGCCGGCTGAACAGGGAGAGGTAGCGCTGGAGCCCTTCGCCGCTGCCTTTGGTGACTTCGAGTGCTCGCTCTGGCCCCAACTGGCGAGACTTGGGCGTGCTGAAGTGCGTCTGGATTGGCAGGGGGCGTCGCCGAATGTGCACTTCATCAGCGGCAGGTGACTTCGGAGCCGGCATGCCCGCACTGAGCGTGGGCATTTACTGAGCTAGCTGGAGCTTGATCCTGCAGGCTCGCCAGCGCACACGCCATCCAGCGCTTGACCTCGTGCACGCGCCGCTCGTGCGCCCCTCGCATCGCGCGGCTGGCCGCGCCTGCCGCCCCGCGGGAGAAGCCCGCCAGCAGCGCCACCAGCTCCGCGGCGCTGCGGAAGCGCTTCAGCCCCGGCAGCGCCGCGTAGTCCGAGTACTGGAACCAGTAGGCCCTGTTTGGGCAAGGGCTCCCAACTTCGCGCTTCGCGCTGCGCGAAGTGCGAAGTGCGAACAACTTCGCGCTCTCGCGCCGCCTCCCAGGGGAGAAGAGGAGGATGAGGAGGAATCGGAGCCGAACCGCGAAGCACGGAGCGCGAAAAACTTCGCGCCCTCGAGGGCGCCCTTGCTGGGGGTCCCGAGACGGTGCGGTGACAGACCGTGCGGTGATCTCGAGACCCCAAAAAGGCCTCACCACACGGTCCGTCACCGGTCTGTCTCGGGACCTCGGGGGCCCCAGTCGCCCGAGGCGTCCTCGGAGAAGGACCCGAGCCACAAAACCGTGCGGTCACCCCGACTGCCCCTTGACCCAACGGTGTGGCCATCCGGCCTGTGCAGCAGGCTCTCGAGCTCGGAGGGGAAGCCGGCCACCAGGTGCTCGAACGGGGGGTACTGCGCGCTCGCGTTGGCCCCGTCCTCCTGCAGCCACCACGCCGGGGCCCTGGGCCGGAGCCTCTCGGGGGCGCGGCTCTGGATGGGCGTGCTGCCCACGGAGAAGAGCGTGGGCCCGGCGAACATGGCCGAGTTGGCCCACATCCACGTGTAGATGTAGGGCTCCGCCGGCAGGAACACGGGTCGGGCAGCGGAGTCTATGCCTATCCGCTGTCCCCTGGCCAGGCCCCTCCCTGGGCCCAGGAGCCGTGCAGTACGCCCTCCTGGCCGAGCCAGGATCAGGTCGGGCATGTCCTCCTACAGGCGGATTTTGGACGAAAAATTGAAAATAATCAAAAGTGTTCAAACATGGTCAAAGGGTGTCGAAACATCGTCCCCGGACGTTGTTTCGATCATTTCTAAAAGTTCCTCCTGTAGAGGGGCATGCCCGACTGAAAGCCAGGAGGGCGTGGCCCGGCCCGGGAGCAGCCCGGCCCGGGAGCAGTGGACACGTACAGCTCTCGCCGCCCGAGGTGGGCACGTGCAGGGCGTAGAGGTCGGCGAAGGCGGCGTTGTTCGGCACGTGGGGCACGAGCACCACGGCCCGGTAGGCCGCGATCTCCTCGTAGTCCAGCGGCCGGCCCAGGGACTCCAGGAGCTCCTGCTGGACGACCAGGGGCAGCCCGGCGGGGCCCGCGTGCTGCTTCAGCAGGAGGACAAACCTGCGCGACGAAGGATTGCAAAAAAACGAAGGATTGCAAAAAAAAACAGGATTGCAAAAAAACGAAGGATTGCAAAAAACGAAGGATTGCAAAAAAACAAAGGGTTTTTTTGCAATCCAGGGTTTTTTTTTGCAATCCTTCGAGGCGCGCCGTACGCGAGAGACCACAGCGCCTCTGCGCGGTAGCTTGCGCGGGCCGTCGGCGCGGCACGTTACATCAGAGACGAGAGCACTTACGAGCGACCTTACGCGGGCAGCTTACGCGCCAAGGTCGGCGCAGACAATTTTTTGCGTCGCTCACCTGTCGAAGCCGGGGTGGGTGTTCTTGAAGAGGAGGACCTCGTCCGTGGAGGACTCGTTCTTGAGGAAATGCGCAACCCCACTGAGATGAATCATGACCATGGGGACGTACTCTGGCCTGACACCTGTCTGCCAGAAGATCTGCTCCCCGACCAAGCGCGTACCGACTGAGAAGCGGCAGCGCGCCGACGAGGTGAGATCGGCAAGCCATGCCCAGAAGGTGTCCAGCTCCTCCCAGTCAAAATACTGCAGGAGAAGCGCCATGTTATTTCGCATGACAATCGGCAGCTCCGGCGCCACGTGATGAAGCGCCACGCACACCCACGCTGGATTGCAGTCCACGACCGCGTCCGCTGCCCTCCAGTCGGCGTCGCTGGCGACCCAGCCTCGGACCATCTCCAGGCCTTCTCGCAGGGAGAAGAGCCTGCGCTTGTCGGGGTCGCCGCGGCTCTCTGGGGGCCCGGACCCGGAGCCCCAGGACAGCCCGTCGGTGGCAATGCCCGACCTAGACGGGGGGAAACAAAAAAAATGATACCGGATAAAAACCCCAATCAAAGTCTTTTTAGGGCTATAGGGCTATGGGGTTACTGGGCTATAGGGCGATGAGGCGATGGGGCTATAGGGCTATATGACCATAGGGCTATATGACCATAGGGATATAGGGCCATAGGGCAAGAGGGATATGGGGCTACAGGGCTATAGGGCTAAAGGCATATAGGGCAATAGGGCCATAGGGCTATAGGGCTAGAAGGCTATGAGGCTATAGGGCTATAGGGCTATAAGGCTCTAGGGCTATAGGGCTATGGGGCTATTGGGCTCTAGGGCGATAGGGCTACAGGGCTATCAGGCTATAAGGCTATAGGTATATAGGCCTATTCGGCTATTGGGCCACAGGGCTATAAGCTTATTGGGCTATGGGACTATTGGGCTATAAAGCTATAGGGCTATACGGCTATAGGGCTATAGGGCTATAGCGCTATAGGGCTATAGGGATATAAGCCATCCGGGCACCCGGGCACCTGGGCACCCGGGCACCCGGGCACCTGGGAACCCGGGCACCCGGGCGGGCCGCGGAAGTCGGTGACAAACCTCACCTAACCATATGAATCCGCTAGGACCCCTACAGAGGCAAGCTCTGATTGGGGAATGAACAACAAAAAACAGCAAAACGACTCTCAGAGCTTCCTGTGAATTTCTAGGATCTGCGCCGGAAGCGCGCCAGGGGCCGAGCCTGAGGCGCCGCCAGGGGGGCCCAGCGCCGATCCAATCGATCCGCGCGGAGCTCCGAAAGTTTACGTTCATGCTGGAGGCGGCCAGGGGGTCTGAACTGGATGAGCCCTGAGATGGGGCGCAGAAGAACATATTACAGGCTGGAAAAGGTTTTCTCCGAACGTAGCCACATGGTCCAACAACGCCGCATAACAGGAAGATGTGTGTGAGCGATGGTTGCACTATGTGATACAGTGGCCGAACACACTGCGCTTTGGACGTCCGCACCCACTGCCCCAGTTAAACTGTAGCACAACAACGCAGAATACAAACCAAGCAAATTGCGAGGACGTCTCAAGCGAAACTAGGCCCTAAACAGGCGAAACCAAAGCGAAGCCAGGCAAATTGCACGGACTTCTCAGGCGAAACCACGCCGACCACCAGGCGAAACGAAGCAAACTGCGAGGACGTATCAGACAAAACTAAGCCCAAACCAGGCGAAACCAATGCGAAACCAAGGCGAAACCAAGAATATTGCGAAACCAGGCGAAACCAAAGCGAAGCCAGGCTAATTGCGAGGACGTCTCAAGCGAAACCGCGCCGAAACCAGGCGAAACCAAGCAAATTACGAGAACGTCTCAGGCAAGACTGGGCGCAAACCAAGCGAAACCAAAGCGAAGACACGCAAATTGCAAGGACGTCTCAGGCGAAACCGCGCCGAAACCAGGCGAACCCAACCAAATTGCGAGGACGTCTCAGGCGAAACCAAGCCCAAACCAGGCGAAACCAATGCGAAACAAAGCGAATTGCGAGGATGTCTCAGGCATCACCATGTCCAAACCAAGCCAAACCAGGGAAATTGCGAGGACGTCTCAAGCGAAACCGGGCCCAAACCAGGCCAAACCAGAGGCCAAACCAAGCAAATTCGGAGGATGTCTCAGGCGGCTTGCGCCACCCAACCAAGCCAAACCAGACCAAACCAGGCCAAACCAGGGCCCAAACCAGGCAGATCTTGAGGACGTCCCTAGCAGAATCGCCTAAACCAGGCTGCACTCCTCCTGAATAAAATTTGAATTCAAGGAGTGGATCACCCCAGGCCCCCGCCCCCGGCGCGAGCCCGTTTAGAATCTTGCGGGGGGGGCGTTTGGACCACGTGCCCGCTCAGGCGGACGGGGTTGGGCGTGGAAGGCTTCGTTTGTCCTTCGGCTGTTCTTGGGGCCTTGGTGTGGCGCGAAGAGAGATGTTCCCAAGCCTGCTGCACTGCGCGTCCTCCTCGAAGGCGGGCGCCCGACCCCATCGTACAGCACAGCAGTCCTGCAGCAGATCGTTGCCCGAGCGGCCTGGCCAGAGAGCGCCCGCTACGGAGCAGCTACCAGAAGACCCCTCGGCGCGCGCGCGGCCCCTGGAGGGGGCGACGCACACATAGTACTGGTATGTCGCTGTGACGCCGATGAGACAATCTGCCACGCATGGGGGCATCAGGGCAAATCCGCTCGAAATCGGTCCCCAAACCCCTCTGGGGGTCCGTCGGGTGCAGCGTTGCACCTCGGATCCGTGCTTGACAGCCCCGGGGCCTGAAAACAGCCCCCTGAGACCGAACAAAGCAAAGAAACCTTCTCGAACCCAGAACCTCGAACCTGACCCCCGCTCCCTGCTGGCCGGAACCCGTGCTGGGCCACCTCAGACCCCCAGCCGACTCCAACGAGGAAGCGCTGTTCGTCTCCCTCGGCGACCACTGCCGGTTCTTCCACCCGCGCTTCAGCAAGTACGGGACAATCTCCGCGGGGCGGCCCCAGTGGTCCTGGGGGGACAGAGAGATATATTGAAGGGGCCCTGGGACACACAAATGAGTACACACAAATAACTGGATTCCCCATATTTTCCCATATTTTCTGGGTCTCTGTCTTCCCCCCCCCCCCACTTCCCATATTTTCCCATATTGTCCTGGGAGTCGACGATTCATTGTGTCTGTGTGCTTTTTCCCCTCCTGATATACCGATACCGCTGCGCCTCGGGCGGGTCCCCGGGTGCGCTCTGACACCCGGGCGTCGAAGGGAGTCCGGCCGGGGCAGGGGCTCTGCGGGGCGAGCAGCGGCATCGGTCTCTCTGCTCTTCCCCGCAGGGCTCGGGGAGCGAGAGAAGAACGCACGCGTGCACGAATCCACGCCGGCTTCCAGAGCACGCTCTGAGCGAACGTTCGCATCACGCGGCTGGTCTCGCGGACTCGGAGGCCGTGCTCATGCACGTGGTTGGGCGCGTACGTCCCTCGTGGGCTCCCCAAGTGACTACCTACCAGACCACCCCAACCCAACCCGAAGACCCGAGTTAGACCCGAATTTCGGGTTTGGGGGGGACGAGCTTCATACGTGTTTTTGTCAATGCTCCCCGACCAGCCCCAATGGAAATGGAGGGCAAATCGGGGCCTTCGGGTTGGGTTGGGGTGGCTTGGTGGGCGGTGACCAAGGTCCAGGGACACGGCGTGCAGGAGCGACTGCGTCTCCTGGAAGAGGCCGTGGTGCGCCTGCTCAGGGACGCGGGCCCAGGGCTCCCGCGCAAAACCCGGATCAGCCAGGGCCCTGTCGCGAAGCCGGGCTGGTTGCTTTCGGGCTGATTATTAGTCGCCCCGTCATTTATTCGCGCCCCCTTCATGTATTCGCGCCCTTCATGTATTCGCGCCCTTCATTAATCGCCCCCTTGAAAATGGCACCCTACTCCCCCACTCATTAATAATGAGGGGGGGAGTAAGGTGCCTGTATCGGGCCCCAAACGCCCCCTTCTGGGTTCGACGGGGCCCCTTCAGGGGGCCTCAAGGTCCCCTTTCCGGCAGCCCTCGCTGCTCCCCTCATGCATCGCCCCCCCATTGCGCGTCCCCCGATCGCTTCGTGGCTCCCAAACTCCGGGTCGGCGGGAGGGAGGCCGGGGGAATCAGCCCCATGTGGCTCCCAGGTCCCGGCCAGCCAGAGGGGATTGGCTGACCGCTGTCAGCGCCGACCCTCGTCCCTGCATATTCCGACCTGGCGACAGACGTGCAACGACGCGAAAAAAATCGCGCCCAGAATCCCAAACCCCACCCTGCTGCTTCCTGCCTCGAGCCTGGTCGATACCCCGTCAGGGTCCCGGGGCCCGCCGCCGATGGGCATGCTCTCCACCACCACCACCACCACCACGTTAGCTGGACAACCTAACGACTCTGCTAAGTACCTGGGTAGTATCGTTAGAAGTGATGGAGCTTTCTCTTCCGAATTGGAAAATAGGCTTAGGGCCATTGATGTTGGTTATCACAGTATGGGGAGATTCTGGTACCAGGCACGAGTCCCTTATGTTGAACGACGTGCTGTTTTTCTATGTCGTGTCCTAGGGTCTGCGTTATCAGGCGTCGAGGCTTTCCTCCCAACGCCTGCTCAGCTACAGCGATTGCAGAGCAGAGTAAATATGTATGCTAGACGTGCTATGCGAGGGCTGGCCACCAAGGAGCAGAATGGGCATAAGGTTTCGATCAGCAACGATGAGGTTTGTAGGTACTGGAAGATGGCACCACTTGAGATCGAACTGCGCGCAAGGCGCATCAAGTGGTATCAACGCTGGGTTCAACAACCTGATCGTCACCTGGCAGAATGGGCAGCTTTGTTTGGCACCATGCAAATCGAGTTGCAGAGAGGACTGCAGATTGTTGGACAAGACGAGCGCCTCACAGATGATGCTTGTCCCTGGGCTCGCAGAGTAATATCAGACATTAACTCCCTGGCAGACTTAGGAGATGACGAATATGAACATGTACAAGAATTTGATAGTAGTCCATTGAGAATATTCCAGGACGAGAGCTTAGTCGAATGGTTCACTCAGTTTGACCCAAAGAAGTTGCGAGCTAAGTGGTTAAGTGTAGCTATCCCGCCTCCTGGATATGTTCACCCTCAGGAATCGCGACCCGACCCACCTCAAGCAACAGGAGATATGTTACCATGTCCAGTACCAGGCTGTCCTCGTTCTTTCCATACTTCCAGGCAGTTATTGGTCCATCTCAGCAGGGGGCATGATTTCAGATCTATCCTTGGTCTTGCAGTTACTTCTAATGTATGTTTTGTCTGCGAGAGCGTTTTCGAGAGTCGTAACTCGGTCTATAAGCACCTCATCGACTCCTTCGAAACGGGTATATGCGTCACACACAGAAGTACGACCTTCAAACATCCAGGCCAGGACAACACAAATGAGTGCCCATTGTGTAAGGCTCAAATTCTTGCTGGGGCTTCGCTGCGAGCCCACATTCGTACGCATTTTCTTCACCTACCTGCCCTCGACGATGCCAGGAGAGGGCGCGGCACCGGCGGCGAGGCCCAACGAGCGAGAGGCAGCTGGAGGCCAGGAACTGGCGTCAGCGCCAGATTGGATGATCATCGGCACGGCCAACAAGCGCAAGGAGATGGATGCCACCTCAGACGCTCAGGAGAACAAGAAGGGGCGGCTGGCCGAGCAGGTCAGGCGCGACGGCCTCAAGATGGGCAACTTCAAGGCGCTGCTCGCCATCCTCACGAAGCTCAGCATCACGAACTCCAGGGAGCTCGCCGACCTCACAGGCGCCTGCTTCACGTGTTTTCTGCTCCCCGCGTGCGCCCCGCTGATCGCCATCATGCAGCAGGCGGGCAAGGCTTACTCCCAGGACTGCAAGAAGAAGGGCAAGCAGCACGGCAACGGCCCCCCGTGGCCACATGTCTTCCTGGCTCTCCTGAAGCACTTCTGCCAGATGGTGGACTTGGACGAGCCGACGATCAAGGCGTTCAGGACCTACTGGGGGGTGATCACGAGCCTCAGCAAGGAGGAGGGCCTGATCCAGTTGCAGGAGCAGATCAGGTTTCTGCGCATCAAGGGCTGCTGGTACGATCGCAAGAAGGACGACAAGCCGACCAGGTTCAAGTTGCAGTTCATGATGAGTCCCAACTCGCAGGTCAACGGAGTGAGGAACACCTCCGACCAGACCAACACGATCCCGCTTCACCAGGCCTTCTGCATGGCGATTCTCAAGCAGGGCGGGGAGTACAAGGCGGGCGGGCCTCCCAAGGGGGCGTTGGAGAGAGAGGCGGAGAAGCTGCTCAAGCGCATGGGGATCGAGAACGACAGGCAGCCCATCGAGGTCGACAGCGACCAGGACGTGGAGGGGTTCTGAGGCCTCTACGCCTTGAAGCAGTAAACGGATCTGAGCGTATGGCAGACATGTATAGGGAAGGCCGCCTCACGGGCATACAATTACAGGCCCTGCAGGCTCGCGTCCACCATCCCATCCTGAGGTATTCTAATGGTAGTCGTAGTGTCTTGTTGCATCAGGTTGGCAGTGCAGACCCTCCCGCCATCATGTCATTTGAAGAGTTCCAGCAGCGTAGTGAGCAGGTGCGCAGAATAGAAGTCAATGTAGAGACAGTGCCGAATCAGAGCAATCGTGTTGCTAGTAGATATCTCCACCCCAATCCCATGCCGCCAGCGCAGTGACTCCTTTGGCCCAGGCTCGGGGTTTTCCATATTGCAAGAGAGAAGTGAGAAGCGTTGCGACCTTGCTCACTCGTCCTCCTTCCTTCTCCCGCTCTGTTCGCCCGTGCTTGTTCCTTTCACGAAGGATGGTGCCGCGTGCGGGCCGCTGGGCGTTCCCCTTACAGCGGTCCCGCTTCGGCCAGAGAGGGCCATCCTTCCAGCGTCGGCCGCTGGTAGGCGATAGTTCGCATCCAAGAGCCTGCCGAAGCCACCAGGACTGCTGAGTGACAGAGGCTCGCAATGGTTGATTGATTGATTGATCCTCCTCCTCGTCCTCCTCCTCCTCCTCCTCCTCCTCCTCCTCCTCCTCCTCCTCCTCCTCCTCCTCCTCCTCCTTCCCCCATCCAACTTATGGTGGTGGTGGTGGACAAGAGGACCATCAGCCGCTGGGCGAGCACGCCAGCTGTAGACGGACGACCCGGCCTGCACCACCACGACCCGGAGCCCGGGCGCCCGCGGCGGCGCCGCGGCCAAGCCCATCAGGGAGCAGGCGTGGGGCGCCGGGTACCACGACGCGGCCCGCAGCGCGGGCTGGATGGCGGCGCCAGGCCCCCCGCCGCGGCCCGCGGCGAGGAGGTCCTCGAGCAGGCGTCCGGCGTCTCGAAAATATCGGGGGCGGCGGTTGCCCGCGACCACCCTGCGGTGTGGGGTCCTCGTTTCGAGCGTGCATCGCCCCGCGTTCTCCTCCTCCTCCTCCTCGCCTCCTCCCTCCTCCCGCGTCTGCCCTCCTCCTCCTCCTCCTCGTCCTCCTCGTCCTCGTCCTCGTCCTCCTCCTCCTCGTCCTCGTCCTCGTCCTCGTCCTCGTCCTCGTCCTCGTCCTCGTCCTCGTCCTCCTCGTCCTCGTCCTCCTCTCCTCTCCTCCTCCTCCTCCTCCTCCTCCCTCCTCCTCCTCCTCCGCCTCCGCCTCCGCCTCCGCCTCCCTCCTCCTCCTCCTCCTCCTCTCCTCCTCCTCGTCCTCCTCCCTCCTCCTCTCCTCCTCCTCCTCCTTCCTCCTCCTCCGCCTCCTCCGCCTCTCCTCCTCCTCCTCCCCCTCCTCCTCCTCCTCCTCCTCTCCTCCTCCGCCTCCTCCCTCCTCCTCCTCCTCCTCTCCTCCTCCTCCTCCTCCTCCTCCTCCTCCTCCTCCTCCTCCTCCCCCTCCCTCCTCCTCCTCCTCCTCCTCCTCCTCTCCTCCCTCCTCTCCTCCTCCTCCTCCTCCTCCTCCTCCTCCTCCTCCTCCCCTTCCTCCTCCTCCTCCTCTCCTCCTCCTCCTCCTCCTCCTCCTCCTCCTCCTCCTCCTCCTCCTCCTCCTCCTCCTCCTCCCTCCTCCCGCGTCTGCCCTCCGCATGTCTGTTTAGGCACACCGCTCACACGCTTCGTGGCCCCATTGGGAGCCCCACCGAAGGCCTAGAGATCTGCGCGCGCATGCCTGGTCCACGCCATCTCTGCGCACCCCTCACACGGTTTGTGGCCCCACAGATAGAGCCCGATCGAAGGCCCGAAAATCTGCGCCCGCATGCCTGGTCCACGACATTTCGGCGCACCCCTCACAAGTTTCGCGGCCCCATGGGGAGTGACACCCAGGGCCTCAAAATATGCGCCCGCATGCCTGGTCCACGCCATTTCGGCGCAACCCTCACACGTTCCGTGGCCCCGTAAGGTGCTCCACCTAAGGCCCAAAAATCTGCACCCGCATGCTTGTCAACGTCATGTCGGCGCACCGCTCACACGGTCTGTGGCCCCATGGGGAATGACACCCAGGGCCCAAAAACCTGCTCCCGAATACATGGTCCACGCCATTGCGGCTCACCCCCCGCACGCTTCGTGGCCCCATAGAGACGACCTAAGGCCCGAAAATCTGCGCCCGCATGCCTGGTCCACGCCATTGCGGCGCACCCCCTCACACAATTCGTGACCCCCTAGGGAGCTCCATCTAGGGCCTCAAAATATACGCCCGCATGCCTGGTCCACGCCATTTCGGCGAACACCTCACACGGTTTGTGGCCCCATGGGGGGGCGACATCTAAGCCCGAGAATATGCGCCCGCATGCCTGGTCCACACCATTTCGGAGCACCTCCCACACGCTTTGTGACCCCGTAGGGAGCTCCACAGGGCCCAAGAGTATGCGCCCGCATGCCTGGTCCGCGCCAGTTCGGCGCCCTCCTCACGCGGCGAATGGCCCCACAAGGAGCCCCACCTAAAGCCCGAAAGCCTGCGCCCGCATGTCTGGTCCACGCCATGTCGGCACACCCCTCACACGCTTCGTGGACCCTTTGTGGGCTCCACCGAAGGCCCCAGTTCCAGGAATCGCATGCGTGACTGTGCCCATGTCCGTGCACGCCGCACACGTTGCGAGACCCCATGGGGAGCTCCATCGATGGTCCCAGTGGCAGGAATCGCATGCGTGGCCGCGCCCATTTTGGCACATGCTGCCCCCTGGGGTCGCGCCGACAGACGCATAGATCAGCCGTAACGGGCTGCATCAAATTGTATCCCGTTATGGCCGACCCCTGCGACCCCAATCAGCAATGCTGCTCCGTCCGTCCCACGCACGATTTTCTCATTTTGCTAACCCCGTTCCTGATTTTTGTCCACCTGTCTTGCGGCATTCGCAGCTGAACATGGTTCGATCGGTCTCTTCGCCAAGCGAATTCATAGCGTTCAGCCTCCAAGGACCCCGTACCCAGCCTTGGCATGGTCAAGAAGCGACTCGGGATGAAAGCACGATCCTGAGGAAGTGGTTGAGAGGCCGGGTGCCGCGTTTTGATATTTTTCAAAGAAAAAGAGAAAAGAAGGGAAAACAAAAAACGAATTCAAAAAAAAACACGCCCAATGTCTGGGCTCGGAGTTGCGGGAGCTCGAAATCGGTCCCTGGGCCCCGTCCCTCCAGGGGTCCAGACGCACCACTTGTCCGAGCTGCGTCCGGCTGCGGCGACGAGAGGGCCCCCCAAAACCAACGGCATGCCGCCGTCTCCACTCGAGGGGGGCAAAACCAGCATTTCTGAGAGAAGCGAAAATGCCACTGTGGAGTCAAGCAATGTGCTTCTAGCCATAGTTGTGGCGCAACCCAGGTGGAGCAATCTATGTGGTGCGATCTACGTGGCGCAGTAAGTGTTCTACGATGTACGCCGTTGCGCAGCACAAGCTGTGCAATGCATGTGTTGGTTCATGTACGTATGTGAATATATGTATGTGAAATGTGGGGCAATAAATGTGGCGCCAGATGGGTTGTGCAACCTACGCCGTTCGATCTATGCATCTAAATATATACATATGGCCATACATATACATATATATATATACATAAATATATGTATATATATATACATACATACATATACCTATATATATATGTGTGAATATACATATACATACATTCATGTGTGTGCGGTGTGCAGTGGTTGTAATGCAATATATGAGATGCAAAAGATGCGGTGCAATCGACGTGGTACAGTCTACGTGGTGAAATTCACTTTGACCGTCTTGAAGCTGTCCTCTCCACTGCTCGTGCAAACATCCCACCCTCCCACCCGCAACTTGGTCGCAAGACCTCTTAAGACAAGACCGTGACGGTAGGTACCAGATGGCACTTGGCCACGACACCGACGCCGACGACAACAGCGACAACGACGACGACGGCGCCGCCGACACCGACGACGACGACACCGACGACGTCTCCAACGACTTCGACGACGACAGCGACCACGACGACGACGACACCGACGACGACAGCGCCGACGACGACGACGATGACAACGACGACGACGACGCCGACGACGACGCCGACGACGACGACGAAGACAACGACGACGACGACGACGACGACGACAACGACTTCGCCAACGAAGACGACGACGAGGGAGGAGGGAGAACGACGACAACGACGAGGGAGGAGGGAGGACGGCGACGACGCGAACGACAAAAATAAAAAAAGGGCGGCGACGTCAACGACGACAACGACGAGGGAGGAAGGAAGACGCCGACGACGCAAGAGCGCTCGCGCACGCTTTTGTTGAAAATCCGTGTTGCGTAACCTTGGGTTTTTGTAGGTTATCTGGATACACGATTTTGAAATCCTTCCGAAACCGATGGGTTTTGAAGGATTTCGGCATACGCGCGCGACGACGCGCGCGTCTGCACTTCGTCCCATTTTTTGCAAAGGATTCTCGCGACGGTACACGCGCAAGGGCGTTCGACAGATTTCGACACGCGCGCGCGAAGCCCGTTTAATAGCATTTTGTGAAAATCTTGAAAACCTATGGTTTTCTCAAGATTTCGCAAGAGCTCGCGCGGAAGCTTTTTTAGCAAATCAGTATTGCGAAACCCTGCGCTTTTGTATGTTTTTGGAAAACTCGATTACGAAATCCTTCCGGCACCAAAGGTTTTTGAAGGATTTCGGCATGCGCGCGCGACGACGCGCGCGTGCGCACTTCGCCCCATTTTTGCAAGGGTTTCGTGAGAAAGTGTTATGTTAGAACCAAAAATGTCACCGCATAGTGTTTTTTCTTTTACAAGGGGACCTCACGGGGGATACCGTCAGGCCAGGGACATTGTGATTTCATATTTAGGATGGACATGTGGTCAGAAACATTTGTGATCTACATACCCGAAAAGGGGACCGATAACGCCGGGGGAGGCTAGAGTCTATAGAAAGGAGAACTCACCCTTCCGAGCTTGGAGTTGTCAACGCCACTGCTCTCGCAAACATCCCACCCGCAACTTGGTTTGCAAAACCCTTGCGACGGCGTTGGCTGGTGCATTTTTGCGGCCGCGCTGGCCCGCGCATGCTCGCGCGCGCAGCGTCCGTCTAGTGCGGCTCGACCGACGCGGCCGCGGTGGCGCTAACCGCTGGGGAGTTCCAACGGGCACTTCAGTGCGAATCGGTGACTTGGGCGGGCGCGGAATCATGGCGACGCCGACAAGGGTAAACACGATGATGAAAGTAGCGATAATGGTGACGATGGTGGCGATGACGGCGGCAAGGCCAATGACGGCGCCGAGATTGAGCACGCCCGCCGATAACGATGAAGATGTCCTCGCGTCGGTGATGAAGGTTTTGGAAGGAGTTCGACATGCGCGCGCGGCCGACGCGAGCGAGCGGCCCGCGTGGTATTATTTGACACGGATCGTGCCTTCCAGCACGTGCGCAAAAGCGTTCGGACGAGTTCGACATGCGGCGCGAGAGGCCCGTGTGGCAGAATGCGATGGCAGTGCCGCTGTTCGAAAAGATTTCGACCGAACGACCGCGCGTACGTTATTTTCTGAGGTAACGGATGTTGCAAAACCATGCGTGTGATAAGTGAGTTCGGGACATTCGTTTTTGAAACCCTTGCGAATCCAAAGGGTGTTGAAGGATGTTTTGTAATGCGCGCGCAACGACGCGCGCGCATGCACGTCGTCCCGTCTGTCGCAGGGGATTCTTGCGACAGCACGCGCGCAAGGGCGTTCGAGCAACTTCGACATGCGCGCGCGAAATGCCCGTTTGGTAGCATGTTACTAATGTTACTCACATCCTCTAAACAAACGATGTTTGTCATAATAATTCGCAAGAGCGCGGGCGCAGGCTGTTCTTGAAAATCCTGGTTGCGACACCATGTGTGTTTATATGTGTTCGGGACACTCGACTTTGAAATCCTGCGGAAATCAATAGTTGTTGGGGTATTTCCGCGTGCGCGCGCGACGTCGCGCACATGCGCACTTCGTCCCAACTGTTGCAAAGAATTCTTGGAAGATTCTGACTGTTGATAAACGAGTGCGCGCGCAAATATATTGTTGCAGAAGATGAAGGGGTGGGGCGAAATCTGGCCTGGCTGGGATGGTATGAAATCATATCTAGGATGGGCGATGGGGCAGAATCGTATGTAAATTGCATATTCCCAGGGGGTATCAATAAGTCCAGCCTGGAGAGGGTGGTGGATCTTAATTCTTTGTTAGAACAATGCATGATGTGAAATTGATGTGATGCGAGATCTGCTGGGCAATCTACTTGGTGCACTACGGTGCAATTCACCCTGCCGAACTTGAAATTGTCAATTCCAGCACTCGCGAAATCATCCCACCCAACTACCCGCAACTTGGTTTGCAAAAGCCGGCGGCGACCGCGATGACTGCTTGGCGCTGGCTGGCGCATCGCTGCGGCCGCACTAGCGCGCGCAGGCTCACGCGCCGAGCAGCCAGCCAGACTGGTGCGATCGACGCGGCCGCGGTGGCGTTGACCGCCGGGGGTTTCCCAGCGCGTCGCGCAGGCCGCGCGGGCACCTCAGTGCGAGTCGGTGGCTCGGGCGAACGCGGTATCCAGGCGTCGTCGACAACGGCATTCACCATGATGATTGCAGCAATGCTGGTGGCGACAATGACGATGTGACGGCCAGGCCAATGACGGCGGCGATACTCATCACGCCGATCACGATGACCGTGCCCACGTGTCGGTGATGAAGGTTGCGGAAAGATTTCGACATGCGTGCGCGGGAGGCCCGCCGGGGTCGCATGTGATGAACATGTTGCCTATACATGGTGGCCGTCCTTCGAATTCGCCAGAGCCTGCGCGCCGACTTGTTCGAAAAAACATGTTGCGCAACCAATGTGTGTTTGTTTGCGATGTGTTCGGGAACGTCGATCTTGAAAACCTGCAGAACCTAAGGTGTTTTGTTTTGTCTTTTTTGATAAAGATAAATCTAAAAAAATACGCGCGACGACGCGCGCGTGTTCACTCTGTCATATATGTGGCAAAGGTCTCTTGAGAATAGATGACTTCGAATATGCGACTGCGCCAAAAACGGTTAACGAGGATGAAAGGGGGCCGAACCCAGTTTGACCAGGATGATATGAGTCCATTGATCATGAGCGATTGGATCGAATCAAATGTACACCCTGCGAAATGCTTAAGAAATCATGGGTTAAGAAATTCATAGTCTCAGAACTTGAATAAAAACCCAACATGTCCATTCAAATCTTAAGATTTACATTGAAACGTTAAGAATAATCGAGACTCTGGCCGAAAACTTAAGTTGTCTTAAGCATCGCCTACGGTGTAAGCGCCACATCCAAAAGAGGTACCGATAACCCCCGGGGTGGGGGGGGAGGCCCGACTTCCTTCTCAAGCAACAGAATCCAGACATCCACGAGGCGGCGACGGCGACAACGATGCCGCCAGACCCACAACCGGGTACCGACGACGAGCTGCGACGAGGCGGCGACGGGGCGGTGACGGCGACAACATAGCCGCCAGACCGACAACCAGGCCCCGACGACGGGAGGCGACGAGGCGGCGACGGGGACAGCATAGCCGCCCAACAAGCCCCCCAGCTGCTTATTCCAGGGGTAAGAAGCCCGAAGTGCAAACACTGTTTGGGGAACTTCTGAGCTCCGTCCAGAGGTATTGCATCTGCGCTGGACCACACCTCCCTGGACCGCGGAGCGCGCCAGGGGTCTCAGCGATCATTCGAGAAATCCACACAGAGCTCCAGAAGTCTATGCTTATGCCGCCCTCTATTCTTCGAGTCCTCCGCGACGAAGCGGCTCAGGGGGCAGAAGCTGCCGGCGGCCAGCACCTGCGGGAACACGAAAATATACCGATACCGCTGCTCCCTGGGCCTCTCCCGCGGTGCGTTCTGACGAGGACTTCGAGGCGAATCCGGCCGTGTCGACGAAACTGAGATCCGACGGCGCAAACAAATATTAAAACGTCCGAAAATAATTTTAAAAACAAAACAAAACAAAAAACAAAAAAAACGACCGCTGACCCCATAGACCCTATGTTGCTACTGCCTGTTTCGAGCCACGTCGACCTGTGAGTGACCCAGGGGCCCGACCCCGGGCGGAAACGCCGGGCGCGAAAGAATTGCGACGCCCGGGTCTCAGGGAGGGATGGGCGGCGGTATCGGTGCCCTTCCCTCCTCTGAGCACCCGCACGTCCCAGTAGCTGAGGCCCCACGCGGAGTGCTCGGGCAGAGCCCAGACGTTGCCCCAGAGCAGCTGCGCGAGGCCCAGCACGCCCGCGGCCCAGCGCGGCGGCGGCGCGCCCCCGCACGCCGCGGCGGAGGCGGAGCACGCGGCGAGGCCGACCAGGTGCCCGAAACGCGCCAGCCAGCCCTCGTCTTCTGCCCGGCCGAAGGGCACCTGTCGAGGAGCAGCCGAGGCGGCCATGAGCAGACATCATCGGCCTCCTCCTCCTCCTCCTCCTCCTCCTCCTCCTTCTCCTCCTCCTCCTCCTGCTCCTCCTCCGCCTCCTCCTCCCCCTCCTCCTACAGCCGAGGCACCCCACGCCTGGGTCGGAGGATCGCTCCGCATCGTCCATTCATCACCGATGCCATCGGCGATGCATCGGCGACGTCGGCGTGGAGAGGATCGGGCTCCACATCGAGCCACATCGCCAATGCATCGGCGATGCCGCAGGATCCTCCAGCCCCCATCAACCTCGACCCAATTGTGGAGGCTTGGAAGCAAAGGCGGCATACGCAACTGGACGGGGGCTTTTGCTTAGCATCTCGCAGCGGCTCACCCGGCGACACGCTATGCCCTGCGAGCTGGTAGCGCGTCGCTCCGCTCCGCGGAGCCGGAGCCTGGGAAAAGCTCGGGACCTGTACGCTCGGGGCAGGGACGTGGACAGCGTGTCACGCCGAGGCGTGGTGGGCCCGAACAAGAGGCGCGACGCACTAAGCCAAAGCTCCCGACTGCAAACGTCCGAAGCTCCGCGCGGCTTCCTTGGGCCTGCGCTGGGCCCCCCGTGCCGCGCCTCCGACGCCCCCCCCCCCTGGCGCGCTCTCCGCGCGCCGGGGATGAGGGTGCCGGCGCCGATCAAGGAAAGCTGGCGCGGAGCTCCAGAAGCTCATGCTCATGCCGCTTGTTCTTCCTCTAACCTCTCCCTCCGCCGTCATCGAGGAGAACGCCCTCCAGTAGCTGTGCACCACGAGCGCGGTCGTCAGACCCCTGGCAGGAAGAACCAGCATCGAATCGGCAAGTCGGGTCGAATCGAAGTGTGAATGGGATCGGGCCATATCGGTACGGAGTCGAAACCAAATCGGATCGGCTGCGCCAGGATGCACGGCAGCGCCGTGCAGGCATCGGGCCGCCTCGGATCGCCGGAACATCATCGGCATCGAATCGGGCTGGCCGAAAACGACGTAGAGTCGGACCGGTCGGATCGACATGGGCCCTGGAGGGAGAGGGGGAGGAGGAGAAGGAGGAGGAGGAGGAGGAGGAGGAGGAGGAGGAGGGGGAGGAGGAGGAGGAGGGGGAGGGGGAGGAGGAGGAGGAGGAGGAGGGGAGGGGGAGGAGGAGGAGGGGGAGGAGGAGGAGGCGGAGGAGGAGGAGCGGAGGAGGAGGAGGAGGAGGAGGAGGAGGAGGAGGAGGAGGAGGAGCCTGGTGCCCGCCAGGAGCTCCGCTGCGCGCGCCGCGCGCCGCGCAACGGCGGGGTGCGTGAGGGACGCCCGCAGGTGTACCTCGCTCCGCAGACGCTCGAGGTCGTCGGCGAGCCCAGCGGCCAGCACCTCTCGCGGCCCCCCCCAGGGCGTCCGAGCACGGGAAGTCCTGCTCGCCGTGTGGCGGCGGCGGCCCCGGCGGCACGCTGTGCCTATTCAAGAGGGCAGCGTGTCGCTCCGCTCCGCGGGGCAGGAAGCTGGGCAAGGCTCGGGACCTTGAAGCTTGGGGCAGGGGCGTGGATAGCGTGTCGCGCCGAAGCGCGGTGGGTCAGAACCGGCGGAGCGACTCACCGAGCCAGAGTTCCTGACTGCAAACGAGGTCGGAGGATCCCGCCGCCTGGATACATCGGCGACGCATCGGCGCCAGTTGTGTGGAGGAGTTGGGGCTCGAGCCGCATCGCTGAGGTCCGACGTTCCAACAAAAGAATACCCCATCGCGAAATAGTCACGCCTGGAGCACCGCACCTCCTCTTCTTGCGTCACTTGTGGAGCCAGATCGACCTGTGGGGACCCGAGACTGGGCGGAAATGCCCGCTGTGAGAAAAATGCAACGCCCAGATCTGAGGCATCGCCGATGAGACGCTCGTGAGCATGCGGCGCGATCCTCCGATCCCGTCTGCTCGGACCCCATCTGGGAGGCCGAGAACCTCGTCGAGCGCCGCCGCGCTGCTCTCGGACATGTCCGCCCACAGGATTCGGATGGCGTACGCTCGGTGGTACGGCTGGGCCTCCGAGGCAGAGGGCAGAAAAGAACACCCTGAGAATAAGCTCGCCGACAAGCAAAGCCATTTTCTAAACGCACCCAAGAAAGGAAACGAACAAGAGAGAACTGTCTAGTAAACGCCCAGGGCCGTGGAGTTCACGCCAAGCATGGGGGTCGGGGTGGGTTTGTCCTTCCTAGATGAGGGGGGAGCGATCCCTCAGAGCTGGGCGTCGCGAAATTTCGATATTGGGCGTCGTTGCCCGGTTTCGGGCCCTGGGCCATCACAGATCAACCCGGCCCGAAAAATGAGGCAGGAAGATGTGGTCAGTAGGGCTCCGATCGACATGTTTTACGATGCTGCCTTGTGTTCGCGACGTCGGATCTCAGGGATAGGGGTGGCCAGCTGATGCAAGGGCTCCCAACTTCGCGCTTCGCGCTGCGCGAAGCGCGAAGTGCGAATAACTTCGCGCTCTCGCGCCGCCTCCCAGGGGAGAAGAGGAGGATAAGGAATCGGAGCTGAACCCCGAACCGCGAAGCGCGAGCAACTTCGCGCCCTCGAGGACGCCCTTGCTCAGGGATGGGGGTGGCCAGCGGATGGGGAAGAAGCGCTGAGCTTGGATCGGCGATGACATCGCCGACAGATCGGCGAGGGGCCCCCCCGACAGCGAAAAAGCGCCCGCTCCCGGGCGGGATGGGCAGGCGCCTCTCGGCGACGAATGGGCGATGGGGGGTCGATGCGTTCCCCCTGGAGCTGTCCCCCCCCTGCTGCTGCTGCTGCTGCTGCTGCTGCTGCTGCTGCTGCTGCTGCTGCTGCTGCTGCTGCTGCTGCTGCTGCTGCTGCTGCTCAGGGCGAATGAGTCCAAAGGATGCAGCCCTTCCCTGCCCTGCCGCGGGAGGCGAGGGAGCACGCGGAGCGTATCCCCCCCCCCGAACGTTGCCCCCGAGCGAGGGAGCACGCGGAGCGTATCCGACCGATGCCTCCACGGTGGTGTTCGGGCCATAACTCGGCTCCCCAGCGGCCGTTCGGGAGTCTCTGGGCAGCCCCAGGAAGCTCTCGGCGCGGCGCAGCTGCCGGCAGGCATCCCGAGGCTGGAAAACCACCAGGAGCCGACGCAAACGTCCGAAAACATCAAAAACTCGAACCCAACGGGAGCCTATGCCCCCCTGCTTGAGGTTGCCCCTGGGCCTCGCTGTACTCCAGTCCGCCCCGATCCAGACGCTCGCCACCCAGGCTCAGGCCGACATACCCCAGCACGTGGCGACCGCCGTCCGTCCTCGAGAACGGGACCCTGCACGAGCCGTCCGGGTCACCCCGGGGAGCGAGCGCAAATCCGATGCACTCGCTCGCGCCGAAGCTCCAAGGGATGGCGAGGGGAGCCGAAGAGGGGGGCCCCGCTGCATGTGTTGCCTGAGATCCGGGCGCGGCACTGCTTTGACACTCGGCGGGTCTGTCTGCGAGGGGTATTATTCCTGGGTCGGGCGTGTCCCCCTACAGGCGGATTTTTGACGGAAAAAATAAATCAAGAATAGTCTAAAAATCGTCCCCAGACTATGTTTGGACCATTTCTGAATCATTCCTCCTGTAGAGGGACAGGGACATGCCCGACTTACATCATGTGATTCGCATGTTGCACATGTCGTCGTCTTTGTTGTTTCACGCCTTCGGTTTCATCCCCTACCCAGAGATCCGACGTCGTGATTTTTTCAATACGGGGCCCCCGGAGGTCTCGACCCGTTCCCCAGGACCGGTTTTTCATCCTGAGTCGTTTTTTGACGGTCCCGGGGCCCGGCGAGGGCCCCTTGAGGCCGAAAATTGTGAAAAACCTCCGTCTTGATTTTTTCAATACGTTGGATCTTTGGGTATGAATGGGGCGTGCGCTCTTCGAGTCGCCCGGCAGGCCTTGCCTGCTCGCGTCTTCCCCCCGCTGCGGGCCCCGGGACCATCCCAGATCGATCCCCCGAGCGGCAGGCTGCGCGGACGCAGACGAATGGGGTCTGCACCCTGCCCGTGCCAAGACGCGGCGCGACGGCAGGCAAGGGGGCACTCAAGCGGGGGGGGGGGGTCAATTCGCTGTGTGTCCCCTCCCTGGCAGACTGGCCGAGCAAACGTCACCACGCACTCCCCTCCCGCCCGGCAGTCGGCAGACGGCACGAGGAGCGCAGGGATGGGGCGCTGCATGGCGACTCCTCCGCCTCCTCCTCCGCCTCCTCCTCCGCCTCCTCCTCCTCCGCCTCCTCCGCCTCCTCCTCCTCCTCCTCCTCCTCCTCCTCCTCCTCCTCCTCCTCTTCACCTTCCTCGCGCTTTCTCGGGATCTGCTCGGCTCCGGTCGTGGCTGTTCACAATATGTTGCATCTCGTCCGCAGCGTCGGATCTCAGGGTTTTGGGGGGGAAAGCAGCGGCCTCGAGTCGGCGATCCATCGCCGAGGGGTCGGCCACGAGCCCCCGCCAAGCGAGCGCACACGCCTCGCGGCAGGCCTCCGAGCCGCAGCCTCGAGGGGCGACGGATGGGCGATCGCTGGCCGACGGCGGCGGCGCGCCAGAGGGGGGCGATTTCGGGGGGGGAAGGCTTCTTAAAAGCACCTGCTTCTTGGCGGGCCCAGGCCTGAGAGAAGGCCAGCGCCTGCTGAGAAGCAGGGGTGCTCCTGAGAAGCCTGCCCCCCTTCCCCCTACCCCCCTCTGCGCCCCAAGAGGGCGCCAGGACGGCCCAAGAGGCGCCCAAGACGGCCCAAGAGGGCCCCAAGACGGCCCCAAGAGGGGGACCACGAACCCGACAGTTAGCCTTTCGCCCCAAGACGCTCCAAGAGGAGGCCCCCACAGACCCCCAAGAAGCCCCAAGAGGCCCCCAAGAGGCCCCCAAGAGGCCCCCGAAGAGGGCCCGAAAAGGGCGGCCGACGACACCTTCCGCCCGGGTCCACACCCAGACACCCGACGATCTGACCGTTTCCGCGCGCGCGCCGAGGGTCCTGACGCCTGCCCCCGGCCTCCGTCCCGGGATCCACGCCGGAGGGCCCCGGGGCCCGGCCATCCACACCGGGCCCTGGCGGCCGAAACCGAAGAAAACACGCGCTGGAAGTGAGACAATCACATCGCCCGAGATTTGGGCCCCCCTCGTCGGCGCTCCTGACATGAGCGACGAGAACAGACGGGTCGCACGCGAGACCACGCAGCAACCTTGCGCCGCGGCTTCTACGCGGGCCGCCAGAGCGCGGCACGCTGCCTCGGAAGCGGGGCACCCGCCCACGCGACCTGACGCTGACAGCTTGCGCGCCAGCGTCGGCGAAGACGACCCCGCACTCTTCCGTCGCTCATATGGACATGGCCCCCGCGGACGCGACCCACCTGGGCTCCGCCCGGTTCACTCCGGCGGCGCTGGCACTCACGTCGTCAACGAACCGGACAACCTCGGTGTCCTGCGGCCGATCGACGACCGCGACGCTGGCGGCGGCGACGGTGCCGACGGCGACAGCCGACGACGCCGATCCAAGATCTCCGACGATGTGATGTCTTCGAACACTTCGCTTTGCCTTGGAATCGGCCTTTGTGGCCGCCTTCCGGGCCCCGAGGCCATCCAAAAGATTGGCCCCAGGGCGAAAAACCGGCCCAGGGGGATGGGTCGGGGGCCGCGAATGCAGAAAAAAAACATCGGACGTCTGGGAGCGGAACGGGCCGGCCGCGCCAGCACACTCAGGTGAGAACTCTTCCGCCTCTGAATGGCCTTTTCTTCCCCCGCCCTTCGCGGCCGCCTCGTCTGTCTTCTCCCCGCCCTTGCACGCTGGCCAATTCACTTCTCGGTGCCCCCGTCTAGCTCCATCGCTGGTGCAGCCAACTCTGCCTCGCCGCCGACGCAAAAAACAGGAAACTGAATCCGCTCAGAATCGGTCCCGGACTCTTCCCAGGTCCATCCTGACCAGACTTTCATCCAGATCGATGTTGTGTGACCACCCCCGCGGGGCCCAACACAACTCCCCCCCGAGGCTTGAAAGGACGGAGATACCACGGCGGCGGCGACAGACGACGACGACGACGACGACGACGACGACGACGACGACGACGACAACGACAACGACGAAGCGACGACGACGACGACGACTACGACGACAATCGACGACAACCGATGAAAACCGACGACAACCGACGAAAACAGACGACCACTGACGGCAATCGACGACAACCAACGACGACCGACGACGGGTGACGACGATCGACGACGATGACGACGACGACAACGACGGCGACGACGAACCTGATGTCCGACGTCACGAAAGAATTACAACATCATCAAAAACTCGGCTGGAGTCCTGGATCTCATCTTCTGCGACATTTTTTCGAACCTGATCGATCTGTGATGGCCCCGAGGCCCGCAACTGGGCAAAAACTCCAGGCGCACAAAAAGTGCAACGCCAGAATCTCAAACCACGACGACGACGACGACGAAGACGACGACCACGACGACGACGACGACGACGACGACAACGACGACGACGACGGCAGCGGCGACGACGACGACGAACCTGATATCCGACGTCACGAAAGAGTTGCAACATCGTCGAAAAACTCGACTGGAACCCTGTATCCCATCCTTCTGCGGCAATATCCGAGCCAAATCCATATGTGATGGTCCCGAGGCCCGAAAATCAGCGAAAACGCCGGGTGCACAAAAATTGCAACGCCAGAGTCTCAGACGACGACCACGACGACGACGACGACGACGACGACGACGACGAAGACGACGAACCTGATATCCGACGTCACGCAAGAGTTGCAACATCGTCGAAAAACTCGACTGAAGCCCTGCATCCCATCCTTCTGCGGAATCATTCGAGCCGGATCGATCTGGTCCCGGTGCCCGAAAATAGGCGAAAACGCCTGGTGCACAAAAACTGCAACGCCCGAATTTCAGACGACGACGACGACGACGACGACGACGACAACGGACCTGGATCCCATCTTCCTGCGGCATTTTTCCAGCTGGATCGATCTGTGATCGTCCCGTGGCCCGAAATTAAGAGAAAACGCCCAGTGCGCAAACTTGCAACGTCCGAATCTCCGACGACGACGACGACGACGACGACGAGGACGACGACGACGGCGACGACGACGAGGACGACACAACGACGCTGGCGCCGACGACGACGTGATAACGACGACGACGACGACGACGACGACGACGACGACGACGACGACGACGACGACGGACGACGAACGACGACGGACGACTGACGACGGGCGACGAACGACGAACGACGGACGACGACGACAACGACGACGACGACGACGACGACGACGACGACGGCGATGGCGACAGCAACGGCGACGGCGACGGCGGCGGCGGCGACGACGACGGCGACGATCGACGACGACGGCGACGACGGACACAACAACGGCGACGGCGACGGCGGCGACGGCGACGACGACAGCGACGACGGACGACGACGACGACGACGACGACGACGACGACGACGACGGCGACGACGAAAACGTGGCGTCAACGACGATGACGACGACGACGACAACGACGACGACGACGACGACGACGACGACGACGACGACGGACGATGTCGTACGATGGACGACGAACGACGGACGGCGACGACGACGACGACGACGACGACGGCGATGGCGACAGCAACGGCGACGGCGATGGCGACGACGACGATGTGGCGACGACGACGACGACGACAACGACGACGAACGACGACGGACGACGAACGACGGATGACGAACGACGGACGACGGACGACGACGACGACGACGACGACGACGGACGACGACGACGACGACGACGACGACGACGACGACGACGACGACGACGGCGAGGGCGAC